AAAAAAAAAAAAAAATTCGAAACTCATCTGTAATCATACGTTTTCATAATAAAATATTCTGTAAATAAAGTCAAAACTTTTTTCTACTTCTTAACTATACATTCTCCAAAAAAATCATTATTTTATGACTCATTTAAAAAATAAAAAAAAAAACCTTATTTTAATGATTGTCAAACAAGGGCTAAAAAAGAAAGGTGTTTCTAAACCCTAGCAACAAGTATTAGATCCTCATTCATTAACTTGGGACGTTCATGATTTTCATAGATATATCTCATAGTGTCGGTAGAAGTGTTTGTCGCAAATCCGTGTACTCTTAATTTTAGACTTTTAGTACAATTTGCCCTTGATTTGCCTTGTATGTATATTAGATTTTTTAAGTCTGCTGCCATGAATTTATTTGTGATGTATAATCTGAGATGAGTTGAAGATTAAAAATACGTCGGTCAATCAACTTAAAATTTTCGAACGAGATGATATTCATTATTATTCACATATAATATAAAATTTGTTCAAATTACATTCTATTGCTTCTAAACTTGATTGTTGCAGTCAACTTCTTGTTCTGAAGGTGGAATAAGAGGTTCATGTTGCCCTTTCTCCTCCAATGCACCTACTTTATGTTTTGATGGATACATATAATGGAGGATTAATTGTGCTGCTCCCAGTACAAAACCTGACCCATTTGATACCTGTAAACATTAATAAAACACAATATATCATTAAAAATTATTGAAACACAAAAGAATCATACCAAGAATATACTATAATTATTCGTAAAGTTGGAAACTTTTAATAAAGAAAATTTGACAGATCGTCTTCCTTAATTCCCTCTCTCCGCCAACTGATATATAACATGTCTTAAGCATAAAACAATCGGTTTTTTATTACAAGTTTTTAAATAGATTATTTTAAACAATCATTCTGTATGACATTTACGAACAGTATTGACTATTTGATTGCGATTATATACACACATTAAAATTATAAATGATGAATAAGTGTAAATTACTTACTCCGATGAAATAATCGCGCACTAATACTGCATAAATCGTCCAAATGGCTCCGTTTATGCAAATGGAAAATGAAAGGGAAAAGGGCAAGTACTCCGCACTTTTCGTCGTCAACACTCTACCCTGAAAATATCAAAAACTAACAATGAATTAGTAAATTTTCATATAAAATTCGTTGAGGATATACATATAAATGAATAAATTTATGTGCAGTTAAACCACTTAAGATATCAAATGATGTGATTCGACATATATTATTAAAAATGACAAAGATATCATCATGAAGATTTCACATGTCTAAGCCCGATGAAAAATGAAATTAATTTACACATATTATCTTTATTATTGAGAACAGATTTTCTTACCATTGCTGCTAAAGGAGAGCCGTATGTAATTATATTCAGACCAGCACACAAAAATCCCAAGGCATTAATCTGTGCTTCCTCTTGTAGAGTTAATCTAGTGATTAAAATAGCTGCAACCAGAAAACCGACGTCCAAAATTGCTGCCATAGCTGCGGTTTTAGCCTTGAATATCATGAAAAAAGAAGAAAAATTAGTGGAGAAGTTTATATTTCCATGATCTAAACAGATTTGATAATGTAAGAATGAGTCCTAATTGGTTAAGAAGTCGGAAGTCAAAAAAATTGTTACATTGTAAGATAATCAAACCCTCATTAATGTAATTTTTGCTGAATCGAGAATCAAGTTTTTATTCCACGAATGTATCTGACAAATCCCAGATCAAAAAGTTTAAAATCTGGTAGTTCTTATTCAATGCAATTCCAGAAATTTTCAAGAAATTTATTTTCTTCCAAGAAGTAGATTC